AAGCGGGAAAGAGTTTCATGAATAGAGACTAACTATCAAGAGGGAAAGACTAATAAATAGAGACTAACTGTCAAGAGGGAAAGAGTTTAATAAATAGATACTAACTGTCAAGAGGGAAAGAGTTTCATAAATAGAGACTAACTGTCAAGCGGGAAAGACTAATAAATAGAGACTAACTGTCAAGAGGGATAGAGTTTAATAAATAGAGACTAACTGTCAAAAGGGAAATAGTTTAATAAATAGAGACTAACTGTCAAGAGGGAAAGAGTTTCATAAATAGAGACTAACTGTCAAGAGCGAAATACTAATAAATAGAGACTAAACTGTCAAGAGGGAAAGAGTTTCATATATAAAGAGACTAACTGTCAAGAGGGAAATACTAATAAATAGAGACTAACTGTCAAAGGGAAAGAGTTTAAAAAATAGGGGACTAACTGCAAGAGGGAAAGAGTTTCATAAATAGAGACTAACTGTAAAAAGGGAAAGAGTTTATAAATAGAGACTAACTGTCAAGAGGGAAAGAGTTTAATAAATAGAGACTAACTGTCAAGAGGGAAAGATTTTCATGAATAGAGACTAACTGTCAAGAGGGAAAGAGTTTCATGAATAGAGAGAGACTAACTGTCAAGAGGGAAATAGTTTAATAAAATAGGGGGATTTAACGTAAAGAGGGAAATGTTTTAAATAGAGACTAACTGTCAAGAGGGAAGAGTTTATAATAGAGGACTAACTGTCAAGGGGGAAAAGGTTTAATAAATAGAACTAACTGTCAAGAGGGAAAAAAGTTTCATAAATAGAGACAAAACTGTCAAGAGGGAAAGAGTTTCTTTAAATAGAGACTAACTGTCAAGGGGGAAAAAGAGTTAATAAATAGACTAACTGTCAAGGGGGAAATGTTTTAATAAATAGAGACAATTTTCAAAGGAAAAAAAGTTTCATAAATAGAGACTAACTGTCAAGAGGGAAAGAGTTCATGAATAGAGACTAACTGTCAAGAGGGAAAGACTAATAATAGAACTAACTGTCAAGAGGGAAATAGTTTATAAATAGAGACTAACTGTCAAGAGGGAAAGAGTTCATAAATAGAGATAACTGTCAGAGGGAAAGATTTTCATGAATAGAGACTAATGTAAGGGAAGGACTAATAAATAGAGACTAACTGTGAGGGAATAGTTTTAAAAAAAATAGATCTAACGTCAAAGGGAAAGATTTTCCCTAAATAGAGATACTGTCAAGCGGGAAAGACTATAAAAGAGACTAACGTCAAGGGGGAAAAGAGTTAATAAAAGAGACTACTGTCAAAGGGGAAAAAATAGTTTAATAAATAGAGACTAATGTCAAGAGGAAAGAGAAGTTCCATAAATAGAGACTAACTGTTCAAGAGGGAAATACTAATAAATAGAGACTAACTGTCAAGAGGGAAAGAGTTTCATAAATAGAGACTAACTGTCAAGAGGGAAATAGTTTAATAAATAGAGACTAACTGTCAAGAGGGAAAGAGTTTAATAAATAGATACTAACTGTCAAGAGGGAAAGAGTTTCATAAATAGAGACTAACTGTCAAGAGGGAAAGAGTTTCATAAATAGAGACTAAACTGTCAAGAGGAAGAAAGTTAATAAATAGACTAACTGTCAAGAGGGAAATAGTTTAATAAATAGAGACTAACTGTCAAGAGGGAAAGAGTTTCATAAATAGAGACTAACTGTCAAGAGGGAAAGAGTTTCATGAATAGAGACTAACTGTCAAGAGGGAAAGACTAATAAATAGAGACTAACTGTCAAGAGGGAAATGAGTTTAATAAATAGATACTAACTGTCAAGAGGGAAAGAGTTTCATAAATAGAGACTAACTGTCAAGCGGGAAAGACTAATAAATAGAGACTAACTGTCAAGAGGGAAAGAGTTTAATAAATAGAGACTAACTGTCAAGAGGGAAATAGTTTCATAGAGACTAACTGTCAAGAGGGAAAGAGTTTCATAAATAGAGACTAACTGTCAAGAGGGAAAGAGTTTAATAAATAGATACTAACTGTCAAGAGGGAAAGAGTTTCATAAATAGAGACTAACTGTCAAGAGGGAAAGAGTTTCATAAATAGAGACTAACTGTCAAGAGGGAAATAGTTTAATAAATAGAGACTAACTGTCAAGAGGGAAAGAGTTTCATGAATAGAGACTAACTGTCAAGAGGGAAAGACTAATAAATAGAGACTAACTGTCAAGAGGGAAATAGTTTAATAAATAGATACTAACTGTCAAGAGGGAAAGAGTTTCATAAATAGAGACTAACTGTCAAGCGGGAAAGACTAATAAATAGAGACTAACTGTCAAGAGGGATAGAGTTTAATAAATAGAGACTAACTGTCAAAAGGGAAATAGTTTAATAAATAGAGACTAACTGTCAAGAGGGAAAGAGTTTCATAAATAGAGACTAACTGTCAAATATAAAAAGAGACTAACTGTCAAGAGGGAAAAGGAGTTCAGTAATAGAGACTAACTGTCAAGAGGGAATCGTTTTAATAAATAGAGACTAACTGTCAAGAGGGAAAGAGTTTAATAAATAGATACTAACTGTCAAGAGGGAAATAGTTTCATAAATAGAGACTAACTGTCAAGAGGGAAAGAGTTTCATAAATAGAGACTAACTGTCAAGAGGGAAAGAGTTTAATAAATAGACTAACTGTCAAGAGGGAAATAGTTTAATAAATAGAGACTAACTGTCAAGAGGGAAAGAGTTTCATAAATAGAGACTAACTGTCAAGCGGGAAAGAGTTTCATGAATAGAGACTAACTGTCAAGAGGAAAAGACTAATAAATAGAGACTAACTGTCAAGAGGGAAATAGTTAATAAATAGATACTTAACTGTCAAGAGGGAAAGAGTTTCATAAATAGAGACTAAACTGTCAAGCGGGAAAGACTAATAAATAGAGACTAACTGTCAAGAGGGAAAAGAGTTTAATAAATAGAAGACTAACTGTCAAGAAGGGAAATAGTTTCATAGAGACTAACTGTCAAGAGGGAAAGAGTTTCATAAATAGAGACTAACTGTCAAGAGGGAAAGAGTTAATAAATAGATACTAACCTGTCCAAGAGGGAAGAGTTTCATAAATAGAGACTAATGTCAAGAGGGAAAGAGTTCATAAATAGAGACTAACTGTCAAGAGGGAAATAGTTTAATAATAGACTAACTGTCAAGAGGGAAATAGTTTTATAAATAGAGGACTAACTTCAAGAGGGAAAGAGTTCATAAATAGAGACTAACTGTCAAGAGGGAAAGGTTTCATGAATAGAGGACTAACTGTCAAGAGGAAAGACTAATACAATAGAGACTAACGTCAAGAGGGAAAATAGTTTAATAAATAGTACTAACTGTTCAAGAGGGAAAGAGTTTCATAAATAGAGACTAACTGTCAAGCGGGAAAGACTAATAAAATAGAGACAACTGTCAAGAGGGAAAGAGTTTAAAAATAGGACTAACGTAAAAAGGAAATAGTTAATAAATAGAGACTAACTGTCAAGAGGGAAAGAGTTTCATAATAAGACTAACTGTCAAGAGGAAATACTAATAATAGAGACTAACTGTCAAGAGGGAAGATTTTCTAAATAGAGACAACTGTCAAGGGGGAAAATATTTTTATAAATAGAGACAAAACTGTCAAGGGGGAATAGTTTAATAAATGAGACTAACGCAAGAGGGAAAGATTTTTAATAAATAGAGACTAACTGTCAAGAGGGAAAAGTTAATAAATAGAGACAAACTGTCAAGAGGGAAGATTTTAATAAATAAGACTAACTGTCAAGAGGGAAAGATTCATAATATAGACTAATGTCAAGAGGGAAAGATTTTAATAAATAGAGACTACCCCATGAGGGAAAGAGTTTCATAATAGAGACTAACTGTCAAGGGAAGAGTTTCATAAATTAGCTAACTGTAAAGGGAAGAGTTTAAAAATAGAGACAACTGTCAAGAGGGAAAAGAGTTTAATAAATAGAGACTAACTGTCAAGAGGGAAAGAGTTTAATAAATAGAGACTAACTGTCAAGAGAGAAAGAGTTTAATAAATAGAGACTAACTGTCAAGAGGGAAAGCGTTTAATAAATAGAGACTAACTGTCAAGAGAGAAAGAGTTTAATAAATAGAGACTAACTTTCAAGAGGGAAAGAGGTTGCCAACACCTCCGCTTCCTACCTTTTGCGGATACTAGGTCTGCGTTTCAAATGGTACCCTATTCCCTACATTGTGCATAGGCCCTGGTCAAAAGTAGTGCACTATATATGGAATAGGGTGACATTTGAGATGCACACTTGCAAATAACTGGATTACTTCTGGATTAGTCTGATAGTCAGGATGACTTATGGATGGTTAGAGTGTGTTTGGCCCTGAAGGCAAGTCTTTAGCCTACAGGAAAAGGAGGATTGACACAAGATGAGACATTGCACATAAAGAAATGCCTTCTGTCAGTGTCACCTAGTTCTGTCAATCCATATGAATTGTCTACCGATTACACACACTCACGGACACACACACACACAAATAAAACACACACACACACACAAACTCTCCTCCTTTAGATATACAGCAAAGTGAGGGACCAGAATGAAAATAGAAAAGCACATGAGGCTGAGGCCCTCTAATTAGGACCCCATCTGCCACATGTGCTGCCCTTCAAAAAGCTTGAATGCTGTCTGATGTTTGGGAGTTCCATCCTTGGTTCCTGTCTGGGCCAGGGAGGAAATATTCCCAGGATACTTAGCAAAAACAAGGTACACATATTCATAGGCCTTACGAGTACAGTAGGGCATTTTCAATTTAGTGTAAACTTACTAAGAAGTTGCCCCTAGACACTGTTTCCCCTTGCAATGGCTAAGGGTATTTAGTGAGGGTAATCTGATCCTAGATCTGTATCAATCCCAGCAGTCACGTCAGACTCACTTTGATAGTTTCAGGTGGCACCCCAGGATCAGGGGCTTTCTCCAGGTATGTGGTCAGGTCCTGGTCAACGTGCTCAAAGACCAGGGTCAGCTTGGTCTCGCGGTCGGTCCGAGACACGGTACACACATCGAACAGTCTGCAGAGAGAGAGGCAGAGGAGGAGAGTGAATACCGCTGCTTGGAATTGTTCATGTCAGTCAGATATCATGGTAACACTTATATAACACTTTTATCTATAAAATGCTTATAAAGGGTTTATAAAAGGTTCGTAAGTAGTCCATAAAGTAGTTCACAAGTCAATAGAAGTTATAAAGTCATCAGTCTTTAATTTAAGAGGAATAACAATGTATTTTAATTTATAACCACCATCTATGACAAACAATATTTTCCAGTGTAAACTGGCTTCTGAAATATAGATAGACACTTGATAGGATCTGTAGTATAATTCCATACCTGAGAGAGATCTAATCTATTTAAACAATCTAGACTCAGTTAGGGGGGGGAATTCCTTTATAGAGTCAGTTAACTGTCCAGGGTCCGGTTTCCCAAAAGCATCTTAAGGCTACGTTTATCATTGGAACCATAGGATCCTATGGTTCTAAGATGAACTTAGACTTAAGATGCTTTTGGGAAACCAGGCCCAGACTAGTTTTCCTGACAGTTTGAAAGAATGCAAGCAATGCTTTCACATACTGGGCTTTGTTGGCTAAACGAAAGGAACCAATCTGAAATGCCTTACTCGTGACTGATCAACATTTTGGCAACATGATCTCCTATCCCTTATTCCAGTGAATTGACACCTCTGTAAAGTATGTGTAGAATAGCGGACTTCACAGTACAGTAACCACAACAGGATCAGTTGAGAGTTGAAGACCTTGACAGACTGATTGATTTGGCATTCTCGTTATTAAAAACATGGAACTGTGACCGGCCAGGCTGATATTGATTACTGCATTGTTGGGTTTAGAGCTTGCAAGAAAGGCATTTCACTGTACTTGTGCACGTGACATTAAAACATGAAACTTGAATCCAGGTCTCCTGCATGTCACAATAACCCTTAGGCCACTGTGCTAAAGCCTAGGCAATATACATTATGTGGGAGCAAACGCAACTCTTCAGGTCTCAGACAAGGTTACTCATCAAGAGAATATACACTATATATACAAATGTATCTGGACACCCCTTCAAATTAGTGGATTCAGCTATTTCAGCCAAACCCGTTGCTGACAGGTGTATAAAAATCGAGCACACAGCCATGCAATCGCCGTAGACAAACATTTTCAAAAGAATGGCCTTACTGAAGACCTCAGTGACTTTCAACGTGGCACTGTCATAGGATGCCACCTTTCCAACAAGTCAGTTTGTCAAATTTCTACCCTGCTAGAGCTGCCCCGGTCAACTATAAGTGCTTTTATTGTGAAGTGGAAACGTCTAGGAGCAACAACGGCTCAGCCGCGAAGTGGTAGGCCACACAAGCTCAAAGAACGGGACCGCCGAGTGCTGGAGTGCGTAGTGCTTAAAAATCGTCTGTCCTCGGTTGCAACACTACTGCCTCTGGAAGCAACGTCAGCACAATAACTGTTCGTCGGGAGCTTCATGAAATGGGTTTCCATGGCCGAGCAGCCGCACACAAGCCTAAGATCACCATGCGCAATGCCAAGCGTCGGCTGGAGTGGTGTAAAGATAGTCGCCATTAGACTCTGGAGCAGTGGAAACACGTTCTCTGGAGTGTTGAATCACGCTTCACCATCTGGCAGTCCGGCGGACAAATCTGGGTTTGGCAGATGCCAGGAGAACGCTACCTGCCCTAATGCATAGTGCCAACTGTAAAGTTTGGTGGAGGAGGAATAATGTTCTGGGGCTGTTTTTCATGGTTAGGGCTAGGCCCTTTAGTTCCAGTGAAGGGACATCTTAACTCTACAGCATACAATGACATTCTAGATGATTCTGTGTTCCCAACTTTGTGACAACAGTTTGGGGAAGGCCCTTTCCTGTCTCAGCATGACAATGCCCCCGTGCACAAAGCGAGGTCCATACAGAAATGGTTTGTCGAGATCGGTGTGGAAGAGCTTGACTGACCTGCACAGAGCCCTGACCTCAACCCCATCGAACACCTTTGGGATGAATTGGAACGCCGACTGCGAGCCAGGCCTAAACGCCCAACATCAATGCCCGACCTCACTAATGCTCTTGTGGCTGAATGGAAGCAAGTCCCCACAGCAATGTTCCAACATCTAGTGGAAAGCCTTCCCAGAAGAGTGGGGGCTTTTATAGCAGCAAAGGGGGGACCAACTCCATATTAATGCCCATGATTTTGGAATGAGATGTTCGACAAGCAGGTGTCCACATACTTTTGGTCATATAGTGTAGTTCCAACCCATCTCCTTCAGGCATGTTGTGATTTCTGCCCACTAACCCTATCCTTTAGCCTCCATCCTGATAATGCCAATAATAATGTTATAGCTACATTAGATCTATTGTACAAGGGAAACCCTTGGCGACTCCTGAGCATCCAACACAATACATCAACCTTGTGGTTGTATTTTTACTAGGCAACATACAGATTATTCGGGCAGTTGTGTCATGGGGACGCGATGGTGAAAAGCCTAGAGAAGACGTCCAGTGTCTTCCTCAAAGAGCCGAGGACCACAACAAAGATTCCTTCAGGAGCACCACAGCAAGGCGTGATGCGCCATGGCAACTGAAGCAGAGTCTGGACTGCCCATGACCGACCACTAGATGTGGTTGGAGCAGCATCTCTGACCATGGCAACCAACCAGTGTTACAGGAATGTAGATGGAATCTATCCACTTACTGACATCGCTCCATTAATTATTCCAATGGCACTATGGGGCCAATAAGGTCCGTATCCCACTATGGGGCCAATAAGGTCCGTATCCCACTATGGGGCCAATAAGGTCCGTATCCCACTATGGGGCCAATAAGGTCTGTATCCCACTATGGGGCCAATAAGGTCCGTATCCCACATAGCTTTTATACAGTAATTCTTAGATTTAATTTAAAACATGTCATACAGTGGGGGGGAAAAGTATTTAGTCAGCCACCAATTGTGCAAGTTCTCCCACTTAAAAAGATGAGAGAGGCCTGTAATTTTCATCATAAGTACACGTCAACTATGACAGACAAATTCAGAGAAAAAAAATCCAGAAAATCACATTGTAGGATTTTTAATGAATTTATTTGCAAATTATGGTGGAAAATAAGTATTTGGTCACCTACAAACAAGCAAGATTTATGGCTCTCACAGACCTGTAACTTCTTCGTTAAGAGGCTCCTCTGTCCTCCACTCGTTACCTGTATTAATGGCACCTGTTTGAACTTGTTATCAGTATAAAAGACACCTGTCCACAACCTCAAACAGTCACACTCCAAACTCCACTATGGCCAAGACCAAAGAGCTGTCAAAGGACACCAGAAACAAAATTGTAGACCTGCACCAGGCTGGGAAGACTGAATCTGCAATAGGTAAGCAGCTTGGTTTTAAGAAATCAACTGTGGGAGCAATTATTAGGAAATGGAAGACATACAAGACCACTGATAATCTCCCTCGATCTGGGGCTCCATGCAAGATCTCACCCCGTGGGGTCAAAATGATCACAAGAACGGTGAGCAAAAATCCCATAACCACACGGGGGGACCTAGTGAATGACCTGCAGAGAGCTGGGACCAAAGTAACAAAGCCTACCATCAATAACACACTATGCCGCCAGGGACTCAAATCCTGCAGTGCCAGACGTGTCCCCCTGCTTAAGCCAGTACATGTCCAGGCCCGTCTGAAGTTTTCTAGAGTGCATTTGGATGATCCAGAAGAGGATTGGGAGAATGTCATATGGTCAGATGAAACCAAAATATAACTTTTTGGTAAAAACTCAACTTGTCGTGATTGGAGGACAAAGAATGCTGAGTTGCATCCAAAGAACACCATACCTACTGTGAAGCATGGGGGTGGAAACATCATGCTTTGGGGCTGTTTTTCTGCAAAGGGACCAGGACGACTGATCCATGTAAAGGAAAGAATTAATGGGGCCATGTATCGTGAGATTTTGAGTGAAAACCTCCTTCCATCAGCAAGGGCATTGAAGATGAAACGTGGCTGGGTCTTTCTGCATGACAATGATCCCAAACACACCGCCCGGGCAACGAAGGAGTGGCTTCGTAAGAAGCATTTCAAGGTCCTGGAGTGGCCTAGCCAGTCTCCAGATCTCAACCCCATAGAAAATCTTTGGAGGGAGTTGAAAGTCCGTGTTGCCCAGCGACAGCCCCAAAACATCACTGCTCTAGAGGAGATCTGCATGGAGGAATGGGCCAAAATACGAGCAACAGTGTGTGAAAACCTTGTGAAGACTTACAGAAAACGTTTGACCTGTGTCATTGCCAACAAAGGGTATATAACAAAGTATTGAGAAACTTTTGTTATTGACCAAATACTTATTTTACACCATAATTAGCAAATAAATTCATAAAAAATCCTACAATGTGATTTTCTGGATTTTTTTTCCTCATTTTGTCTGTCATAGTTGACGTGTACCTATGATGAAAATTACAGGCCTCTCTCATCTTTTTAAGTGGGAGAACTTGCACAATTGGTGGCTGACTAAATACTTTTTCCCCCACTGTATTTACAGTGAAATCTGTATTTCAATATCTTCAAATATTTCGAAAGAGTCAAAGGCTCTGCAATAATAACAGTAAAATTGCAGTTGATGTCTGCGTAATCTCTGTGAATTGTCTTAAAGTAAAGCATGGGAAAGCTGCTCCACCTGGTAGTCTTTTTCTTTCTACCCCTCCTCCCTTGTAGCCTAAAGGGAATATGCACTGTGCCACACCCCCTGTTAACAAAGGATTGTAAATCCTGCACTGAGGATTCAAGGTATTATTGCCATACGCCCATGATGTCACAGAAGGAGCGAGCCTCCCTGTTGGAAACGCAGGGTTAAACGCCCCTCAGAACCGTGATTGTTCCACTACAATGCAGCCTCTCGCCAGACACTGAACATATGGGATGACTAATGGGCGTCATTCTTAAACATCCAGGGGTTGGCAGGCCTGTAGTTACACAGTAGGTCCAGAATGCACCCTGCTCAGTGCTCGCTCTCTCCCGTGCTGTTTAGCTTTACAGAGAGACCAGACCGGACCCCCTTTGGTGTGGATTTAAACTTGGGCTAATGAACAGTATAGGAACCAGAATTTTACATAATTTGAAAATTAGCATAACACAAATTATAGGGAGTCAGGACACATTTTGTGTCATAATTTAATTAAACTAAATCTGTGGAACCTTCGATACATGGAATCTCTATTAAGAATCTATTCATTTTTTCCGATTAGAATAATAATAATGCTGGCACTTTGAGGCTATAGTGTGACCAGCAGGACATAGAATAACATTTATACAGTATTATTAAAACGTTTCATCCAAAAGCACTCAATCTCTCATTATAAGCTAAATGGCAAAGTTAGACCTTGAGCAGGGCCGTTAAATGACGTGGTTTCTCTGCCGAACCGAACTGACCTCCAAACTGGACCAAGGGAGTCTACAGCTACAAAGCATAACAACCCCTGTATGTTGTCTTGTGGCCTGGAGGACTAATAACAACACATATTATATGTAGACTACTGGAATGGGGGCAAAATCAGCCGAATACAGTATCTCTTAGTGGGACTCGAAGCACAAAATGGTTCTTTCTTATCATTCCCAACAGCAGTTCATTGACTTTTCTGTGAAATTCCACTCTAACCAGCGATGGAGATGACTTTACCCATGACTTATTTACGTTGATTAATCTGGTGAACAGATATCACCGAAGAATGTCTATCACAGGTGCTGCACACAAAGAATCCTCCCAGACACACCAAGCTGTATTAAACATAACGGAAATCTAATTAGAATAATACAAAAATCCCCATAAAAATCTGTCAGTTTAAGCTAGAAATATCTGTTTTGCATTGGATGCGTCTCAATCCACCGCATCCGCCAATGTCTCAATTCCGCATCTGCGGTGAAAGGTGACAGAGCTAGAGCGGTGTTTTTTTATACACCTATCAGCAATGGGTGTGGCTGAAATAGCGAAATCCACTAATTTGAAGGGGTGTCCACATACAGTACCAGTCAAAAGTTTGGACACACCTACTCATTCAAGGGTTTATCTTTATTTTTACTATTTTATACATTATAAAATAATAGTGAAGACATCAAAACTATGAAATAACACATACGGAATCACGTAGTAACCAAAAAAGTGTTAAACAAATCAAAATATATTTTAGATTTTTCAAAGTAGCCACCCTTTGCCTTGATGACAGCTTTGCACACTTGGCATTCTCTCAACCAGCTTCATGAAGAATGCATTTCCAACAGTCTTGAAGGAGTTCCCACATATGCTGAGCACTTGTTGGCTGCTTTTCCTTCACTCTGCGGTCCAACTTATCCCAAACCATCTCCAGGTCATCTGATCCAGAGCTCCATCACTCTCATTGGTCAAATAGCCCTTTCACAGCCTGGAGGTGTGTTGTGGGTCATTGTCCTGTTGAAAAACAAATAATAGTCCCACTAAGCGCAAACCAAATGGGATGGCGTATCGCTGCAGAATGCTGTGGTAGCCATGCTGGTTAAGTGTGCCTTGAATTCTAAATAAATCACAGACAGTGTCACCAGCAAAGCACCCTCACACCATCACACCTCCTCCTCCTTCCTTCAAGGTGGGAACCACACATGCAGAGATCATCCATTCACCTACTCTGCGTCTCACAAAGACACGGCGGTTGGAACCAAAAATCTCATCAGACCAAAGGACCAATTTCCACCGGTCTAATGTCCATTGCTCGTGTTTCTTGGCCCAAGCAAGTCTCTTCTTCTTATTGGTGTCCTGTAGTAGTGGTTTCTTTGCAGCAATTCGACCATGAAGGCCAGATTCACGCAGTCTCCTCTGAACAGTTGATGTTGAGATGTGTCTGTTACTTGAACTCTGTGAAGCATTTATTTGGGCTGCAATCTGAGGTGCAGTTGACTCTAATGAACTTATCCTCTGCAGCAGAGGTAACTCTGGGTCTTCCTTTCCTGTGGCGGTCCTCATGAGAGCTAGTTTCATCATAGCGCTTGATGGTTTTTGCGACTGCACTTGAAGAAACTTTCAAAGTTCTTGAAATTTTCCGGATTGACTGACCTTCATGTCTTAAAGTAATGATGGACTGTCATTTCTCTTTGCTTATTTGAGCTGTTCTTGCCATAATATGGACTTGGTCTTTTACCAAATAGGGCTATCTTCTGTATACCACCCCTACCTTGTCACATCACAACTGATTGGCTCAAATGCATTAAGAAGGAAAGAAATTCCACAAATTAACTTTTAAGAAGGCGTGGCTGAAACAGGTGGTTGAGAGAATGCCAAGAGTGTGCAAAGCTGTCATTTACATTTACATTTTAGTCATGTAGCAGACGCTCTTATCCAGAGCGACTTACAGTTAGTGAGTGCATACATTTTTCATACTGGAGCCCGTGGGAATCAAACCCACAACCCTGGCGTTGCAAGCGCCATGCTCTACCAACTGAGCTACACGGGACTCATCAAGGCAAAGGGTGGCTACTTTGAAGAATCTCAAATATAAAATATATTTTGATTTGTTTAACACTTTTTTGGTTACTACATGATTCCATATGTGTTATTTCATAGTTTTGATGTCTTCACTATTATTCTACAATGTAAAAAATTGTAAAAATAAAGAAAAACCCTGGTGTGTCTGTAGGTGTGTCCAAACTTTTGATTGGTACTGTACGTTTGTATATATAGTGTATATACAGTATAGAGACTGTTTAGTGCCAAAAATAAGGGGTTAAATACATGTTTTAAAAAAAAAAAAGATTTTAAAAAGTTTCCTGATCTTACTTATATCTCTCAGATATAGGACAGACACTTTAGAACAAAATTACTATAGATTTTTTGGGGGGACTAACTGTTGTTCCATGTAGTGAATCGGTTATTCAACACATGACTGTAAGTCGCTTTGGATAAAAGCGTCTGCTATATGGCATAAAAAAATAATAATAATACAAAAATAATTAAATGCGTTTGTACGGGCTAATAGCAGTAAGGCCAAAAATATGTTTTTCATCAAATAATTTGGTTTTAACATATATTTATACTTCAAGGGGTCTTAAAATTCCAAATCAAATAGTTAATAATCCTTGGTATGACCTTCTTAAAACTATTCCCCCTTTATGGGTTAAGGTTAGGTGAAGGATTAGCTAAAAGGGTTAAGGTTAGGGCTAGGGGAAGGGTTAGCTTACATGCTAAGTAGTATAAAAGCAGCAAAAAAGTAGTAAGTTGTTGAACAGTTGCTAATTAGCTAAAAAAAGTTGTCTGTGATAAGATTTGAACTCGCAACCTTTGGGTTGATAGACATTCGCGCTATATACCCACCCACCCTCCTTTAGTTTCTGACCAACCACCCTCCTTTAGTTTTTTTTGCCTTCAGCAACCATATGTCTTATGTAACCATACCAAACGTAACATATCATACTAAATGGAGTGTCTCGGATTTACATACAGATCATACTAAATGCTCTGAGACCTGGTTGTTTAAAGAGATAAATATCAGGGGTTATAATAGCATATGTTTGAAGAGATAATGCAACACCTGGGAGCTTGTTAGATGCACCCCCCCCTCGCCATCTCTTCTTACCTGACCACGTTGGGGTGTTCGAATGCCTCCAGTTGCCTCAGTACCGCCACCTCACGGATGGTCGAGAGGGGCATCCCTTCCTCCTCCGTCTGTACCCGAACTCGTTTTAGGGCTACAAAGCGTCCCCCGTTCTTCAAATCTCGTGCCTTGTACACCTTTCCATACGCACCTTCCCCAATCTCGGCGACGGGCTCGTACCGTTGTGCTACACTTTCTTTGTCCATTTTTGCGTCTTTTTTCTTTTTCTTGTTGAGAATATTGCGGGGAATCCCGACGAATGTGACGAGCCAGGGTTTTTACAAAGCCATCCTCACAGAAAATAGTTGTTGGCGCGTGCAATGCCTAAGTTAAAGGAAGACAGAGGTAGCAGAGGTAGCATCTTATATGTCTGTCTGATTTTGGTCAAACGGAGGTCCACAACATTGTGTCATCAAGTTTAGTTGTAGTCCGACTATCAACACTAGAACCCCGATGCGTTCTACTTGATCCACTCCCACTTCATTACGCGTATGAATCTCTTGTCCTCCTAGCTACCTCACATCACACAACATCTGGCATCTTAAAAAAAAATGTTGTTTTTTAAACAATTGTACATAAATTCTCTAAGTACAGAATGCAGTCCATATTACAACAATAATTTCATCTTTATGTTCACGCGTAATGATAGATATGTAGACGAATGAGTTAGAAAAACAAGCAAACCAACTTGAAAGAACACAATATAAACTCTGCAAACTCAGTAAAATTATTATATATTATTATACAAATATTTTTTTCAGGCTCTAATATCTTTTTCCAAATTTGTCCAGTCTATTGTGGTTTATTATAGGCGACAAACTGTTGCGAGCACGTGGTTGCCTACTGATTGTATTGTCTGAACTTCCTATAGTGCATTTAATCACATCTCTCTCCTTTTCCATGTCATTAATACTGTTGTGGATTAATAATGCAACTTTTTCGCTATGTGTTTTTTGCACTGCAACTTTTTTTATTTTAATGTAATGTTTTTTTTAAATAAACATTTAAAATAGCCTACAACAATTAAAACGTTAGTGCAGCATCTTAATTGGCAACTCATGCTTTTAAAATATCACAATAAGGACATGCATGCAAAATACATTTTTCTAAACAAAAAGTAAAATATGAACTTTTCAGCCTACCTTATTTTATGTTATCAGTGAAAGTCGCATTAGGTCGTGTCCATGAATTGACGAAACATGCCCCCTTTGGATAAATGTTCACACTAAGACACAACACATCACAGATCCCTCACTGTCACGCGGGGCCACACAGGTAGTCGGATGGTGCACGCTTCTGTAACCCCCATCCCTCAGCAGTAGGCTACCCACCTCGCTACCCACCTCTGCAACTGCAGCTCAAGCAAAGCAACTATAATACCGGGGGGGAGGGGGGTATTCCTTACAGAAAAACACAGTGCCTACTGCAACTTTTGGGGGAGGAGGTCATAGGACAAAAGCGTGATATATTCTCCAAGCCACGCTCTTCTGTTTTTCCCCGTTTTAACTATATTTTCCCCATTTATCCCGGGATATGCAACGCTTGTCTGTGAGCTCCGTCTCTTCTTCGCTTTCCCACGCTGGCTGAATGTGCCTTGACCCCCTTCAGATAAGTTTGACACAGAGCAGGAACATTTCCGCATTCCTCCCGACTACAAAGGCTAACCGCCTCCTTTTGCTTTCTGTCGCCCTCCTTAGTTCTTTATCATTCATAGTTCTCTCTCGGGTTTGCCTCCGTGTCAAAACCAGCAGCACCACAGGGGGGAAATCTGGGCGGCAAGAAACGTTTATTTGATGGACCAGTCGATCTATCCGGCCATTGAAACTATTCCATTGACAATACACCAGCGGGGAAGCAGGGTGACAAGCACGCCTCTGGCCCATAAGGTCAGGTTCGGTTCAAGGACTAGTGGCTTGGGTTGTGTCAGGGGGTGATTCTCCCAATGACTTTATGGATTTTCGCAAGGCGCCCCTTCGAGGGTGGTCATTTTCAATGTTTTCAATGCTTCATCCTCAGGTGAGATGCCCCACGAGCAACTGCAGCCCCTGATGATGAGTTCCGTTTTTTTGTGGCCCCCACCCCCATCAAAGTTGCCCATTCCTGGCCTAGATGATAGTCATTTTGGAAATAATTAATAAATACCGGTATGTAAATGACCTAATTAAAATATGTATATTATTATCATTTATGGCACATAAATTAATAGAAATGAACATAAATGTGTTATGTGTCTTTCAAAAGTGGGATGAAAAGTGATTTATCCAAAACTGTTTTGAGATTTCTGTTAGACTTCTTTCAGTTGTGATAATAAGATATATAATTGAATAATAATTTGTAAAAAAAAAAAAAAAAAATGCATGTCAATGGATATTCTGTTTATTACATGTTCTTTAGAATGAATCCAGCGGCTTTGTAATCAGTGACAATATATTTAGTATCTGGTAGCTTATATAACCACAATAACTTTGATCAACTTTCTTTTCTAAATCTATTCAAGTGTCACAAAGTAGCCTATAGCTGTGGGTCATGGCTAGAAAGGATACAGCTTTTGTCAAATTGATGTCAAAATTATTATATAATTTTTTTGCTCACCCTAACCCTTTTTCTAACCTTAACCTAATTCTCCTAACCTGCTACGTTAATTATCCTAACCTGCCGAGTAAGTTCTCCTAACCTGCTACTTAAAGTAAAATCTGACAAAAGCTGTATCCTTTCTCGTCAAAACCATAAAAAAACGTTTTTCTGGTTCCTGGTCCTACCTGAGCCTTTACGGTTGAGACTGGAATATAACATGACCAGACTTGATGTCAGATTATCCTCATGAAAGAACCATCAGTGGCATTTTATAGTGCCTTATTATCTTTCTTTAAAGGAGTGGATCAGAGGCGTGTATAAGAGCAGGAAAGGAACATTTCCTCAGAAAGTTATCTTGTGTACTGCTATCATTTTGATAAAGTGTGTATAAGAAGGTAAGACTTTTGATTGTAATTTGATTTCAATGGGGGGTTATGGAGGGAAAAATGAGTTTGAAGTATTTATAGCAATACCCCCCCCCCCCCCCCAACCCAATCCCAACCCACCCAATCCCACCCCACCCTGCATAATCCAAAATTCATCATTAGCATTACAAAGAAAGCACACAATACAGGCAATGCATTCTGAACCAATAACTATAAACGTGGCCATTTCCATTTTAGCATCATCATTGTCTGCTTTACATGAGCACTGAGAGAGCCATCCCCCAGATTTAATACATTAGAATGCATACTCCTTATTGTGCTGCAAAACAAACCAATTAAATTCCTCTGTTGTGTGTGGTAAGTAAGCACAGACACACACGCACGCACACACACCCATAACCATGCTCGGAGCATTTGTAACGTTGAAACATGAATAACTTTCTCACATTATTCTTAAAAGTCATTACTCAAAAATACTCTGCAAAAATGAATTGAAAACACAGGGCACATACACTTGGGAATCTCCTATCTATAAATCTATTCATGTTAATTTCATTATTCATCAGCATTCATCTAATTTACTTCTATACATTTTTTGTTTGTGGCAATTCTAATACTATAGATTCAGACATAACACAGAGGTCAAGGTGCTATAACACAGAGGTGAAGGTGCTATAACTCAGAGGTAAAGATTATATAACTCAGAGGTAAATGTGTTATAACTCAGGGGTAATTGTGTTATAACTCAGAGGTAAATGTATTATAATTCAGAGGTAACGGTGTTAGAACATGGAGGTAAATGTGTTAGACACAGAGCAAATGTGTTATAACTCAGAGGTGAAGGTGTTATAACTCAGAGGTGAAGGTGTTATAACTCAGAGGTAATTGTGTTATAACTCAGAGGTAAATGTGTTATAAAACACAAGTAAAGGTGTAATAACTCAGAGGTAAATGTGTTATAACACACAGGTAAAGGTGTAATAACTCAGATGTGTAGAACAACAGTAATGGTGGAACATGAACTGATAAACAAAGTAGGTGATCTATATATATGCTCCTTGAGTTTTGTCCTCCTCAACTTCTCTGTTCTCCCCTCAAGAATAAGAGGATAAAAGCCTGTGTTGCTGCTCTAGCGCCATGTTAATCATCCCTTTTTTAAGCATTTAAATACTCCCACATGACAGTTTAAACACAACAGCAGTCACAGTGAATACCTTTGTACCAACATGTACACTATACCACAGAATCTGTAATGAAAGTAGCTTCTCCACAGAAATAAGTGGAATGTTGTTTGTTAACTATACACACCCTTTTGGATTTTGACCCTCAGTGAGACATACTATGAAAAAACAAGTCTCTTGTTTTCAGACACATTCACTGTCACTGTCACCTTATGACAAAGCTTGGCAAGAGAGTTTGGTAGTTATGGATAAGACATAATTTGCAACCTTCTAGCGGCCTGAAAGTTGTGGTGATTAGACAGTTTGTCTCTTTAACCCGAGGCTTAGCATGGATAAAGTAATATCATAAGACTGGCTGGAGAGATAAAGCCCAACAGTCAACCTCTTAGTTGGAAACTTCCCAGTTCTGCTGCTTATGTGTTGAGCATCGTCCCTGCCCTCTGTTGAGATAAACTAGAGATCTACTGTAAGGTTGGGTCTCAGGTCAACAACCTACAGTATAACTATGCATTGTCTAATTCTATATGAGGATATTTAATGCACAGTGTTTGTATGACTTGTGATGTTGACTGAATAAACATAGTATTGTTGTCGCACTAGATAGATTTCAGTGCATTTATTAGCCATGTTGTACTCCCCCTTACATATCAGCACCCTAGCTTTCACTCTTCTCTTTGACTGATACACTCACCGTATTAGTCCACTTACACACTTTGGTAATAACCATACTTACTGTATCTGAACGTCTATTCATATCGCAGTACCATATAATTTTTTCCCCCTATGGTCAAATATAATGACAGAATGCTGTAACAGGTGGAACTTTTAGATGTCCACCACTATGGAGCAGTAACGAAGGGTTGAAATCAATCACCTTACTATCCCTTTAATACCCACTAAGGTCGATGTCCGTGCTCCCACGGAAATCAATTTAGCATAATAAAAAAATTCCCATTAAAAATCTGTCAGTGTGAGCTAGAGATATTCGTTTTTTTGCATTGGATGCATCTCAATCCACCGCATCCGCCTATGTCGTCAAGGGTGACAAGCGTCTTGGGACTCGAC